TGTAGCACCAAGTAACAGTAAGATTTGACTGCAGATTGCTAGAATGTCCAAGTTCAGGTTGGAAAACACAAGCATACTACGCCTGAAACTGTTCAGCAATGGTTTGACTTGAAATAGGTGGTATGGCTGTATGATGCAACATGACGTCCGTTTCAAAACACACAGTACTCAGTAGTACATTGAGAAAATTCAATCTATCAATCCAATCAATGCCAAGAAGCTTAATGTCGATACAAGAAACTAAGTAGATGGTTCCACGGAAGCTCAGATCTTTAAATTTAATGTCACATGTGAACTCACTATCTAACCTCAGTGGTTCGCCGGATGCATTTTGGCCAGTCAGATTGGCGCGCCTCAGTGGGGGTTTTCCAAGTCTCGTCCATGATGATCGAGAATTGATGGTAATGTCCGATGCCTTATCTAGTTGCAAGGATATAGGCACACCGTTAATTTGGAGGTACTTTCGTTTGCCCGCAAATTCCATGCGACAGGTCGCGAGAATTACTTTTGTCTTTGCTCCCCGAAACGACGTATTTTGGATTTAGAGTTCGTGTATAAGTTTAGGGTAGACACAGGCCTGTAATAGTAAGTTTTGCGACAATGTGATCCCTTGTGACCCAGACGTTTGCACTTCCGACAGAGATGCTTCTCGTAAGTACAGAATCGCAAAAATGCCATCCACCACAGTTCCAGCATGAGGTCAGGGGTTTCTGGTTAGGTACTCTATAGCTCATATTTTTACCTCGAACAACCGTGCGGTAAATCTGTGGTCCACTCCTGGGGTCAGCATTTTCAATCATCTTGATATCATGCTCTAAATTAATCAGTCTCAGGCATTCAGCAACAATGTCCTGTAATGTCAAATGGGGTTCCCGCTCTAACTTGTGTAGGATGCATGTGCGCACAACAACAACGGCATGAGACTGAAGAGTGCAAACAAATATGAGACTTTTGAAATGATCAGGTGTCATCGTACCGAGAGTAAATCGTTCACACTCTCAGTTCACAACTCCGACATGTGTTATAAAATCATGGCCATCATGTCTGAGTAATTTTAAACAACTATAACAGATACTGAACAAAGATGCTTGCTGTGATGGGGGCTGGAAATGCTGGTGATTGAAAACGCTATAATGCCGATCGAACGCCATAGGCCAGACCGATAAGGTGTGAGCATGTTACCGGAAGCAGACTGGTCAGAAATCAGGAAATAGTTGGTCCGTAATCGTGACCACCATGCAACTATCTACTGAACGTACAAGTGACCAATCAGGCGCCAGCAGACGAAGGAGCGCATACTCGTCCAGCATGGAGCCAAGGCTTGTGGCATTGGACCGATGGGAGAAGCTCGCGGGCCCAATCCCGCCAATAGTACATCGACTAAGAAAGCCAAGGTGATTTAGACAGAGTGAACGTCGCGAGCAAACATAAACCAATGGAAAGGGAGCAGGCGACAGAATGCAAATAACAGGGATGAGCCATTGAGACGGACTGTTGTAAATAGTGTATATACTCTATGAATATTCCAGCGTAATCTTCATAAATGACTTCGCGATCGCGGCCCATTCTTCTTGCTTCCCGGAGGGCTACACGACATGGCGACAGAGGAGAAGGAGCCGACGCACCGGAACCTACTCGCTTTTGGTGGACAGCCGTCGATCACACTGCCGACCGCTCTGCAGATGACTGAAAGCACGCTGCCAGAGAATTGGAGAGTGTGGAAGGCGAAATGGAGGGATTTCGTCACCCTGACCCAGTTGGATACTCAACCGATGGAGTACCCGTTGGTGACGTTCATGCACGCTGTGGGTGATGAAGCCAGGAGGGTGCTCGAAACATTGGAGCTCAGTGAGGCAGGTGAGGAAGTCGAACTTTCGGAAATGCTGAGAAGATGAGGGGCGTTTTGCGAAGGACAGGTAAATGAAACGTATCAGAGGTATTTATTTTTTGTTCGCGATTGATCCCCAAGCGAATCGTTTGAGGCTTACATAACAGAACTGAAACTGTTGGCGCGTAACTGCAACTTTTGCAATTGCATGCGAGACCGCTTGATACGTGATCATACATGGAGATACCATGAGTTGGGATGGAATTCGGAGGCTAGTGGTTTACGGATAACGTCTTGATCAATATGCCACTAAGATCCGAGAGCAACTCTGGGTATAGTGGTAGGGAATTCAAAGTTGGATTCGGAATATCCGTCGTGTGGTTGGATTGCAACATGCAATCTCTATTGAGACCTCGATTCACTTTGAAGTAGCCCTCCGTCATTCCGATCACAATGACCGTATCCGAATTGCAGGTACTTTGTGTTGCTCCTCCCAACAATGACACCCATGACTGGCGGTTACTTCCTGGTTTGGACTCATCATATGGAGATAGTCTGAGGTGGTGTGGAACTCAGCGTCAACCGTTAACCACTAGGCTAGGAAAACTCAAAATGATGTCGCGTGGGGAGCAAATAAAGAACACGTCTCTTAATTACTGGCGTAGCTGGAAACCCAGTGAAATAGGAGTTGTCCGCTATACTACGTCACCTAAAAAAGGTACATGCGTTGTTAGTTCGGCGTTCGGCTAGAATGCAACGGGAGCAAACGTTGTTAGCCATTACTGTCGCAAACATTGGTCATTCAAAGGCAAGCGTCGATTCAGTGAGGATAACTTAACGAAAATCAAAACACATCTGACAAGTCAGTTACCTTGAAACATATTACTCGTACAATTCCATACATAAAAACGTTTTGAGGCTGATAAGGTCCCGCTTTTAGCTTAGTTAAACAAACGATGACGAGTTCAATGTGGCACAAGAAGCGTACAACAATCGGATCCTTCAGGTTTGTCTCTTAATGGCCATTTAGGTTGTTGCTTGGATATATCTGTACAATGACATGACACCCCCATCTCAGAGTCTGATTTGAAAATTAAGTAAACAGTGTGGTGGAGAAAACAGCGTTAGTTTATGGGACGCGCGTATGTTCACAAGGTCTGTTGGCAATGTGGGGCTTAATGGCACCACAAATGGCCACACCTCTTGAAAAACAAACAGTGCAATGCTATGACGCTGAGGGCTACAGGAGAGAAAAGATTCGTGTATGAGTCTCTAATACCATCCTCCTCCATCGAGACGTCATAGAACTCTTGGTCAAAGCAGGGAAGTGTGGAGCGTCATAGCAATGCCAAGATAAAATAATTCGCCAACAGTACGCCGTAATGGCGTTTCGCTACCAGGCGAACATCACGTCGCGCGAGGGCTGAGTATACCGCGAAGACGCCCACATTTACGTGAATTTGAACCAGTGATCTTATGACTGCAAACCAGGCACGAAGACCACAGGCTGAGTATTATTAATGCCAGAAAAACGCTCAGCAACAATCGTTCCAACGCCGTTTCCAGAAATTATCCGAGAGACACTTCGACAAACCAGGCGGGTCCGGATGTTAGAAGTATGTTCTATCCAGTAAAAAGCGTAAGGATAAGTTCAACAGCAGACCGTTGACTACATCTGAGAATTAGCAGAAAGTTCCGAATGTCAGTTGCCGATTCCAGTTGAATTCTTAAGAGAATCATTACTTCTATGCACGGAGAATGTCGATTTCCACTTCCGAAACATACCGTATCGCCAAATTGATGGGGTAGCCATGGGCAGCCCACTGGGTCCCATACTAGCGGATTTCTTCATGCTGATGATAGAACGAAGCCTATGCGAAGAAATAGCGCAGTTGCCCCTATTACAAACGTTACGTGGACGATATCTTGGTGTTCAGTTCGACAGAAATGCAAATCGCAGAGCTAGTGGCGCGTTTTAACTCATCGCATATCAATTTGAGGGTTTCCTGCGAAGTCGAACAACAGAACTGTCTTCCATATTTGGATGTTCTTATCAGTCGCAGGGATAACGGAATGGTAAAAAGGTCTGTCTATCGAAAAGCAAAGTGGTCGGGACAGTATCTGCATTTCAGCAGCTTTACGCCAATTCGGCACAAGCGAACGCTCGTGAAGACCTTGTTTAGTCGCGCCAGACGAATATGTTCGACCGATTGTCTAGCCGATGAAATAGGACTAATTACCAACACGTTAATTGCTAATGGCTACCCTCGAAACTTTATCCGAAAGCACAGCGAAATCCATGAAAAGAAAGTTGCTCTACCTACTGTGCCTAAGAAAAAGGTATTCCTAGAGCTGCCCTTTAAGGGTGACATTGCGTCTTTGAGGACCAGAAGACGTCTGATTTCCGCCACACAGAGCACTTTCTGTGCTGCCGAAGTTGTAATCCTTGACCGAACCCATAAGCTACCGTTGCCTCCACTGAAGGAAACTCAGCCTATTGGCGCCAACTCCCATTGTGTATATCAATTCGTATGTAACTGCGGGGATAGTTACATAGGCAGAACCAATAGAACACTGAGTTACCGAATAAAGGAGCACGTACCAAAATGGGTTCAAGGCGGCCTTAGTCAGCAAGCAAGCCCAAATCAGACTACGTGTGTACGCAGGCCACCAGCATCTTCCATCGGCAGGCACTTATTGACAACAGGTCATCGAATTGAGGTCAACAAGGCATTCACAATCCTGCTTCGCCATACTAATTCCCGGCTCCTCCGGTTTGCCGAGGCGATTGCCATTAGTCGGATTAGGCCAGTGCTTTGTGTTCAAAAACAATTATCGATCAGCCTCAGGCTGCCCTGGTTGTAGACGAAAGACACCTTTTTCTCGCGTTTGTTTATATGGATGTCTATACCTACAAACTGTTATATAAAATTACCGGTTATCGTTATCGGCACTGATGAGACGATACGAAATGCATGCATCTGCCGAACTTCGTCTTCTACTTGTGCTTTTCAGTGACTTATGTTTCGTTTGGCCAACTTGCGCATGATTGCAGCGGAAAAGGGAGTTGTAAGCATGCATAAGATGAAAGAAGAATGAAAGAGGGAGGTATATGTCAAGACCAACACGAACAAGATAGTTAATCTGAACTGCACGAAGTGCTCAAACTTACGGTGGCCTTCATGCGATATTTTTCGGGGTTCGATGGACCCTTTAAGAGAAAGCAAAACAGGGGCATTCATTGATGACGTAAAAACGGTGCGGAGCTTAGCATATTAATAACAAATATTTTTAAAATTTGTGAGGCGAAAGTATTGATAATGCTAATGAAGAAACGCAGTCTGTGTATCGAGACAGTAAGAGTTTTGGTTCCGGACCTAAACAATCGCCCAGAAGCATGATCGGGAAGCGTGTGCAGCCAAGGGAGTATGGTGCTTAATACGGTGAGAAAGTCTACACAATGGTATCTTTGTCAGTGAAATACTCCGTGTAAAGCAGAGCATTTGTGGTGGATGGCGAACAAATACAAAACGCATGCACTTGTTAACCGTGACGTATCCACAAAGAATACAAGCGACTCAATGCGGTAATACTTAGTACGAAAAAGCGTTGCACAGTTGCAAGATTAAATTAGGAAAGCAACACAATGGCAGTATAGGAGTTAAATTTTGTGTTGTTGATCCATGTTGCAAACCTATACTTGGCTTGAGACATTGTAGACAATGGCATGTAGCAGTGGTTTAATAGCTACACTGGTCACACAGAGTGAGCAAGATAGGCTAGAATTAAGGCAATGAAATCCAGAAGTTATCTCGTCGATACCACCTTATCTACAAACGGCAATCTTTTCGCAGGGTATGAGTGTTGTGGCCTTAAGTATTCGCTTAATGCTTTTCGGTCCAAAATTAAAACGACCGAGCAACTTCTGAGGTTTTATTACAAGGGTCGTGTTTCAAAAATTGGGAGCATTCAATGCGCATTCTGATGCGCTGCTTCAATGAATCACTAGCCATAGTGAAAAGGTCGCCACTAGTCCCTTTTCTTTGCTCGCCCACCAGTTGTCCGAAGCGAGGACCATAAGATCGAACGGGTCCAACATGTCGGCGTGAGAAACTAAGACCCTACACTTTCTCTTATCGTCTGATGCGAGTCAAGCACATCGTGAGCTACAGCAGTTACAACTCGGTGACTGCCCCACGTTAAGGCCGATGCTGTACTTGTGAACGCCATGCAGCACACGCGGACAGCAGTAGAATCTTGCGGTGTCGGGGATGAAGTGAGTTCCCCACACTCGGTGCTTTGAACGCCATGGAGGTCAAATCTGTGCAGCTGTTTAAAACATGGTTGGATTCACGTTTTACCACCAATCGATTCAGGGAACGATGGCACACTGACAACGAAACCTCACATTTGTGAGCCCAGTGGTGATACTATAAGACAGACGTATTTCAAGTGCCATAGAATAACTTGAGGAACGATTAGATTAACTCAAGTAAAAGAGATTTTTTTACAACAGTTTGGATCATATTCCGATGCGGTTGTTATGATTTAAATTTATAATTGCTCCCACAATACAGTATTCAGTGACAACTGTGTTACCTGTCATGACTCAGTGGCCTAGATGGAGGTTTTCGCCGACATCCCAACGTCTCGGTTTCGGGACGCAGAAAGCAAATAGTTACGAAACCTGTGGTGGGGTGTCATCCTACGAGTGAGCAACGTTTAGCATAAGCCTACTGATAAATAAATAAATATGAATCAATATCAGAAATCAGCTCAGAGTAAAGAATACTTTTCGGTGAACCCTCATCAGACCCAAACGTTTACATAGCACTGATTGTGGGGAAAGCGTCAATTCGGGCTGGGATTGACTTCCGGGCTGTTTGAACGATCAAACACGATAACTTGAGACAGGGATACAAATGGGAAAACAAGCGAACTAAATAAACACGCATACACAAATCTCAGTAGTCCGAAGTAATTAAGTAAGATAACAACCAAATATCTAAGAGTATCAGTTGGCCAAGGTAGTAGTATGGGCCGTATGGATCGATTTTGTACACATAATTCCGGCTTCAGATGGTGGATGGTGGCGATGGATAAGAGTTGTTTGCGGAATCCTTGAGAGAAGTTTTCAGGTAACGAGTAGACGACTTTGAAGTCATTCTCGGAAGCTTTATGATCACATTCAAGGTGCGACATGAGTGAGCTGTCTGAGGAGCTTATTTCACCTTTGTAAAACCGTGCCGGGATATCATGAATCCCCAGAGAGGGTTCCGCAAACAGTTCTTATCCATCGCCGAAACTACATAAATCCACCATCTGAAGCCGGAATTGTGTACGAAAATGATTCATACGGTCCATACTGCTACCTTGCCCAACTGACACTTTTACTTAGTTATTCGGTTGGTATTTTACCTACCTAATTACTTCGCACTACTAAGCTTTGTGTATGCATGTTTATTGAGTTCACTTGGTTTACCACCTGTATCCCTGTCTCAAGTAATGGAGTTTGATCGTTCAAACAGCCCAGTAATCAATCCCAGCCCGAGTTGACGCCTTCCCCACAATCAATGCTACGTAAACGTTTGGGTCTGATGAAAGTATACCGAAATTGAGTATACCGAAGTGATTTCTGATATTGATACATACTACTGAAATGGGAATATTTGCTTTGCCCGTGATTTATTGAAAAGAAATAAATAGGTATATTTACCGAAGGTATATGGCCTCTAAAGTAAGAGTGATCATTTGCACACGCGGCTAAAAACGTAATCCTAAGTGTTTGCTGAGCTCGCCAGTTTTTCTGCAAACGTTTCGTCACCACTCGTGACGTCAACAGTGTGATAGTAAGTAGCGGAGCGGCGCGACAAAAGGCGTTAGTGGATGTGAGTGATCGATCGCTTGGGCGGACGAACCGTCACTCCGAGTTCCAGTTGTTCGACGGGCACATGATCACCGAGACTAATTCTTCGGATGCGTATCTCGTGACATTAGTACGCGTACCTCTGTTGTTGACCACGTCGCCCGACGTGCAAGTCCGGCGTTCGGTTTCGTTAGATTTGAGTTGATTAAGTTGGTTATCCGGCATATTTAGCACCTAGTACAACGTGTCGGTTGACTAAATTGATTGTTGGATGCCACGCTATCAAGAATTTCCACGTGCGATTGTTACGTGTGTCTTTGACACATTCCGGGTAGTGAGGAAAGTCTCTCGAGAATGTCGGAATGTGGCTTGGTTACTACTCCTAAGCACTTGTAACGGTAGTCGGTTCCAAAGACTGGCATATCTCACTAAAAAGTAAGTCGATAGGATTTTATGACTAGGGACTGCTTTTCCAGATAATAGAAGAAGCAGTGCGGCGTTTCGTAACTACTAGAAACTCATTTCCTCGGTAACAGAAATGCATGAAGGGATAAGGACAAAAAACACGCGCGTCATTGTCAACGACACCGTAGTGAACGCTTCCAGTCTACAACCGCGCGTATAGACCTAAGAGTAGAGAAAGGATGACAGTGTGTCCAAACAGCAGAGCATGACAAGCCTACCAGACCAAGTAGTAGTGACGTGCCATTATATCCGACAGTAATTAACCCGATGAAATTATTCAGTTCAAGTAAGCAATGGATCCCGTACCACAGGTACTTCAATAGGTTACGTGTTGACATGTGCTCCCGTGATGGAGCAAGCGCGATTCGATTCCAGTTGTTCGAATGAGTTGGAAAAGCCTGCGAGTATTTCCCGGCATCATCATCATCATCATCATTATACATGTCAGCTAGAGGTGGTAAAACACCTCCGCTATTGTACCGCAATACATAAAGGAAATGGTTGGCGGCATCCGGTTTCGGATTTGCCTGTCACTGTGGCAAGCCACAGGACGCCTGCGTCTACAGAGGGACCATGGATGGCTTGCGCTGCACCACCCACAGCTCCAACCACACACCCCATGTCCAGTGTAAACCCGAAGGAATAAGACCAGGAGGCATGCGGATGGGAGCCACGTTTCATCAACGGAGCCGGCCCACACTCCTTCACAGGCAAACACAAGCACACTGTATTTGGGGAATCAAGCGCACAAAAGGCGGTGGCTGGACCGTAGTCCGCTCCATACTGAGTGCATGGAACCACTCTTCGAGCCTAACACGGCCACAAGGAACGTGCACTCCGTCCCCTCCAGCAACGACCAACTGTCTCCTGGAGCCAGTATGAACGAGGTAGTGGGTAATAGACAGGTAGGCACCTTGTCAACATGCACATCAAGCGCAGCCACACCGGGGATATCAAACAACAGCCAATCACTTGAGAAAGAGAGAGAAAGAAAAGGAGGAAAACTCGATTAATGCATAAGGAAACGGTGACATAAACCTTAATTAAATAGCATACGTAAGAAGTTGTTTACAAACAAATCCTAGCTAAGTGCACGAGGTCAGGAAGTATAGTTCACGGAATGCCACGAAAATAAAAATGTTATGGAAATCGAATACAATTGGCTGAAGCGATGTGTGCAAGTTAATGGAATAGAGTACAGGGAGATATTTATATGAGAAAGGTAAAAATTGTAAACCCACCACCTGAAATAAAGAGACTTAGCATGCAAGCACGCGGTTAGTAAATCGAATTCAGCGTGCCTACAAACGCTGCGCCGGCTCGTCGTAATTCTCTGCAGGACCCGTCGTCGCTTCTGTAGTGGCCCCAAATGGCACAGCGCATGGCCCAGTAGACATTTATATGAGAAAGAAAGGCATTAGGAGAGAACCGAAAACCCACCACCTGAAATAAAGAGACTTAGCATGCAAGCACGCAGTTAGTAAATCGAATTCAGCGTGCCTACAAACGCTGCGCCGGTGCTGCCTACGTTCACTGCGGGACCCGTCGGCGCTTCAGGAGTGGTCCCGAGTGACCTCTCTCATGGCTCACTAGGCCTGCCTGACTAAGGCACTCGCGACCGCATGTTCTACAGCACAATGCGCTCGATGTCGATGGAGTACAATTCATCGGTGCTTGCCGCTTCCGCACTTGCCGCTTCTTCTCTGCATGCATGAGGGCTTTCTCCCGCACCTCACCAACTGCCTTCGTGATTAGATCGCGCCATGCACCACGATCAACCGCCTTCGATTCCCATGATCTGCAATCAAGATTACAACGTGTGAGGCTCACTTTAATCATGTCCTGGTAACGTAACTTGGGTTTCCCAGCATGCCGCTTCC